TGGGCATATTAAAAATGCAAGAGTAAGCTGCCAGATGGAAAAAGAAGATAAAGGAAGGGTTGGATTTAAGGATATGCTGGGGGCCTAATTAACCTAGAGAAGAAATGGAACATTTTTTCCTTCTGAGTTAGAAAAGAGGTAAAAAATATGAATACATCTGAAGTAGATACAAGGGAAATTTAAGATTCAATGAAATGGTTCTACTTGGCACAATGGAAGTCGATGCCATTTAATCTATTTGCATTTATTTGACCTAAGTTATTTTAGAATTATATGACGTATTACAATTTTTTGTCTTAGTTGATACTTAAGTAAAAGACTATAGATGACACCTTCAGATTTTTGCTTATAACTATGTGGAAGTCAAGCAGTTCCTTTTTAACCTACTTTTTTGGTTCTATGTTGTAGTTGTTTCAAACCATATCACACAATGAGAAAAAGAACATAAGCAGAGTAAGTGTGCCAAGTAAATGCTATTAAGTGATGTTGTAAGTTACCAGTGGATTCTTTGGATGGCTTTCATTTTTAAAATTTTCTGCTAATGAACAAAACTTTGTGGACCCAACCCACAACCAACTCTTGATCTTCACGAAATTCTACATAACAAGGTAAGTCTTTATTATTCCCAAATATAGAAAGTGGACATTTGTGTAAGTACAGGATTCAAAGCAAATAAACTATTTGTCTTGTTATTCCAGTGTTGATGGATCTAAGTTAAATAATACATTGCATTCTAACATGCTTATAAGAAGTATTAAGCTGCACTCTATAACAGAGAACTACATTTTTACAATGTTCATCAATAACTTGGCCTAGAGCCAAAAGGTTAAAGAATTGTTCAACTTGGGCCATTTTCTATGGCCAGCTACCAATATGTCTCATGAAGTATTTTTGCAATAACTCAATAATTTATTTAACAAGCATTTATTAAGTCCCTACAGTATGCAGGCTCCATGCTGGGCACTGAGGTTACAGTGATTAATGAGACAAAAATTCTGATATCCCAAGTGGAGGACATAGATTTTGAGAAAAAAAAATTATTTGAAATACAGATTATGAAGAAAATCCAGTGATATGTTAGAGAGTAACTGAGTGGAGGCCTAGATCATATTAAGTTGTTGTGTCAGGGTGCAGCCATTAATAAAAAAGACAGAAATCACACTATTGAGACTTCACTGTACGAATAAGTTAAATAAGGGTTAGAGACCTGGAAAAGCACAAAGGAAACATTAAGATGTCAGAGGAATAACTACAGGAAGCAACTATCACAACTGGGTCTGGGAGGCAGGAGGAAGAGTAATCAGAATCTAGACGTTCAGAGGTCAGACCCTTTGGAGCTAGGACTCAACCCTTTAAGGAGAAGGCACTGCCCAGCTGCTAATTCTGAGTGGGGGAAAAAAAAAAATGGAGGCTAGAACCAGTTGCTGTTTCCAGGGCAACACTGACAGAAACACAAAGGGAACAGAAAGAAGAACAAGTTCCTTCTTCCCTCCCTCTGCTTTCCAAGCTCCCTGTAGTCTAATGTAACCTATTGTTGAACATAATAGGAAGCCAGCTGGTGAAAGACACCGTTTGCAGAGTTCCAGCCCCAGCACCACCATGCAGAACACAATGGTGGATTTAGAGCTGAGAGACAATCACTAGTAAAGTGATGGAGAAGGGGTCTCTAAACAGGTGACATCTGAGTTCAGATCTAAAGAATGAAAATAAGCCCCACACATTAAGAATTGAGAAAAGAGCATTTCAGACAGAGAAAAGGGCTTAAAGAATACAACGTCAGAAAGGACACAGAGTATGATGAGCAATAGGGGTACAGTCTGAGATAGTAAGAACTGAAGCCAGGATGGAGCCAGATCATGCTCACAAATGTGCAGGCTCTTGGGTGTAATACTAAATACGTACACACCTTATGATATATGCCAAATCTGCTAAGAGCATTGGGAAGGCACTAAAGGTTTAAGAAAAAAGTCTATTATTTGCTAAATACCCATTGAGTACAAGGCCATGCTAGACAAGGATTCTTGCAAACAAGGAACTCATTCTCTCTGCCTTCTACACCTGTTCCTCTGTCTGCATTTTGTTTTCTGGTCTACCCAGTTTCCAAAACCAGAAACCTCTGAGTCATTCTTTCTTCTCACTCCCCACATCCAACTAGTCACCAAATTCTGTCAACTCTACCAACAGTTCCTAAATAACCCTCTCCTTTCTATTCTAAATGCTACTACCTTGATCTCTCCTCTGCCCCAAGAACTGCCCTCCCCAAATCCATCCTTCACACTGCTGCTAGAGTGATCAATCCAGATCACAAATCTCCTCAGGCTAAGACTTTGTTAGAAAACTACTGCAGCAGATGAGGCCCAAGCACCCAGTTAGGGTGTTCAAAGCCGTCTGGAACCTAGCCCCTCCCTCCTCCAACTCCACTGTTGCCCTCCTGCTTCATGTAACACTGGACCATTTGCAGTTACCCCTTCAAACCATGTCATTTTAAGCCTCAATGCCTTTGCCCAAGATGGCTCATCTTTCAAGACTTAGCTTGGGCATTAACTCCTCCAGGAACCCTTCCCCAAATCTCCAAACTGGACTAAGTGCCCCTCATCTGTGCTCCCACTTATCACTGCATCTCGCTGGAATAGTCTGCTTATACGGTCCCTACCCCAGTTGATGGTAAGTTCCTTGAGGGCAAAGACTGTTCATCTTTGTAGCCCCAGCATGGCATGGTGCCCTGTAAATAGTAGGTACTCATAACTGAACTGACCAACAGAATTACCTTGTATAGCACTCGCCAGGGAGCCAAAGACAGAACCTGACAGGAAAACTTCAGGAAAGCTTAGAACGTGCAGCAGAGAGGAGCCCATGAAGGCATGAGCAAGTGGGCACATCTCATGAGGGACAAGGACAGAGGCTCATTGGTCACAGACCTCATTTTGACAGAGCACCTCATATTTGGACTTGTGCCATCATCTCCAAATGAAGTTATACATACGGTTTTATATTCCGTGCATGTTTAAAAAGAATTAATATTTTAAAGGTAAATGTTTAAAATATATCGTGATTTTTATTTCCCTCTTTTGCTATTTCTTCGCTTTTTAATATGCCAATAGCCTAAAAAAATGGAAGTAAGATAATACTAAAGAGTTTCATCAAGGTACGTCAGAATTAATATCAACATGGAAAAGAGGAGATCAGATTTATGCAAAAATGTTTCCTGGCCTTGAGGCAGGAAGAACAGGAACATGGCAAGTGGTGATCATGCAATAAATATGCTGAATGAAGAAATGGATGACTAGAAATCTAGCCAATGGTACTCATATGATGAGAGCAAGAACTTTCCATCTGACAGTGGACATTCAGGATAGAAGACAGGAAAAGGAGTGTCTAATGCAAAGATAACAGGAAACCCTTTGAGCCTGCTCACAGAGAGGCTGCCCTTGCCTACAGACTGAACCAGTTATATGCGGAGGGATCTCACCAGAGCCTGATGCCTTTAAACATTGAAGTTATACATCCACCCCTCGATTCTGCCTGCTATATATCCTATGAGTGTGGATGCCATGGTCTCCGTGACCATGACTTAATTTGGTCCCAAATTAAGTTACAGTTCTTGAGGAAATAGGAATACAATCATCCTCTCAAAAACTTGGATGGTTCATGTTTATTCTGAGAAACCGAGTTTTCTCTGGGCCTTGTCAAAAGCAAGTGTTTAAATCTAGAATGGTGGCCCAAATGAAGTAAATTCACTAAGGTAGTGGGCCCCCAGGCCTGAGTGGTCAGTTAGTATCCTCCTGTGTCCCCCTATCCTCATGAGCAGATGCGGAGATGGCTAGAGAGACGGGAATCTGCAGCACTTGGCTAAAACACAAGGGTGAAGGGGATGATCTGAGAAGGAAGAGGAGAATCTTCTAACCACGCGGAAAAGCAGAGACAAACCACCTACTCACATACAGTCGTCCCTCCTTATCCATGGGGGATGCACTCCAAGACTGCCAGCGGAGGCCTAAAAACACGGGTGGTACCAAACCCTGTATTAACTCTGTTTTTTCCTGTACATACATACCTATGATAAAGTTTATAAATTAGGCACAGTAAGAGATTAACAACAACTAATAATAAAATAGAACTATAGCAATATACTGTAATAAGAGTTATGTGAATGAGGCCTCTCTCAAAATATCTTGTTAAACTGAACTCAGCCTTCTTGTGATAGATGTGAGATGATAAAATGTCTACATGATAAGAAGAAGTGAGGGAAATGACATAGGCACTATGATGTAGTGTTAGGCTACTATTGACCTTCTGACAAAAATCATCAGAAGGATCATCTGCTTCCAGACCAGACCACTGGTACCTGAAGCCACAGAAAGGGAAAGAGGGACTACTGTAGCCTTGAGAGAGAGAAGACGCTCAGAGAGAGAGAATGCCATGTATTTATTCATATTCATTCATTCATCCAACAAATAGTCACTGAGTGCCTACTATATAGCATGTGTCCAGAATACACTAGATGCTGGAGGCAGGAAGATGCCTCTGCTCTCTAAGAATGCTACATTCTCTTGAAACTTTTCTGTACAAAAGCTCAAAGTGACTTAAATATGTTTAAGTCTCTGAAAATTAGGATATAAGGAAATGGATAAATTATCAATTGAATGGTAACCAATATAAAGTGTTTTCAACTTTCTCAGTATGAGATCTTTGCCACGGCGATTTTCCTGCTAAGTTGACTTTTCTCTCTGAGGAAGCTTCTGTAAACTTCACACCACAACCAGAACTACCACTCCTGAGCCGTCTGGGATCCCCAGGAATGCTGGCAACACTTGATCTCAGTGGCTGACGTCAGGGCTGCTCCGTCCCAGCACTCTTCTCTTACTTCAGAGACTATGTCAGCACATTGTGATGCAGGAGCATTAGAACAATGCCCAGAGCAGCCTGGCCTCCTGCACTTCTTTTACTAAGTGGTTAGTTGCCTGCCCGGTAGATATAAACACCTTCTGCCAAAGAAATGTGAAAAGAGTTAGAAACCTGCTATTTGGAGACTATTCTCCTAAGTAGACATCCAGGAGATCTCCAGAGATCTATTTCAGCCTCACGTCTATGTAAGTGACTGTGTGATTACTGCAATTTTGGTGAGAACCTGAGGAAGAAGGAAATGGACATTATTTGAATGAATTCTAATAATTCAAGGGCAAAAATATCTATTTCCTTTCCATCTTTCTCTTTTCTTCCTAGTTTCATGTCTTACAATGCAACCAAACAAGCAGGAAACCTCAGAGACTTAAATCTGGTTACTGAATTTTTCTTAAAAATGATTTCATTGAGAATTTGAGTTAAAATGAAAACACATTTTCTAATTGTTTTTACATTTTGGTTTTCCAAACCATTAGCCCAATTTTCTCTCATGAGTGAGACTTGAATGAACTTATGGAAAGACAGTCGTTTTTAATTATTCAAATGGGAGAGAAGATCTAGAGTATAGGGCTTTTCTGTTCAAAGCTGAAAGGTTAACTTGGGATCCCATGGAGGAAGCAGGGTCCGCAACAGCCAAACCTTCTCAAAAGTGCAACCAGAACTGCAACACCAAATTGTGATGGACCAATCCTAAAAATATGTTTATTAGTGTGTTAAGAATCTTAGAAAAAAACTAAGGAAATGCCATGCTTCGAAGTGCTATGCAGAACCAACGTCAAAGCACAAATACCACAGAGAACATTTTTAACAAGTAATGGGTAAACACCACCATTTAAGACCTTTTATGTAATTACAGGCAAAAAATAACACAGAGAAGAAAAAGACAAGAGAACGTAGGTGTTCAGAATTCTCTCAACTTTGCTGTAGGTTTGAAAATTTTTTGTAACAAAATATCAGTGGGAAAAGATCCAATGGGAATGGTAAATAGCAAACAATTATAGAGAACATTTCAGAGGCATTTATAGACCTCCCTCCAAATTAAGCAGTCAGAAAAGTCCCTGAAAACATTTCCATGTTGGCTCCCAGACTCCTCCCTCCCCATCCCAATTTCCATTAAACTCAAGCTGTCACCAGTTCAAAAAATTCCCAGGACTACATTCATTCCTGGGAAACTCAAGACATCCTACCACCACCCACAGGTGAGTGTACTTCATATCCACACTATACTTAGCCCTAATGGGGCCTTGGTGATCTTGAAACATTACCCAGATAGGGAAGTCTGGTGATGTCATGGAAAGTCTGGAGCAAAAGCTGAGTAAGTTCCACCCCTGTAATGTAGACACCTCATTGCTTCTCTCTGCTTGGTTTCCCCATTAAACTACTGGCATTGGTTTCTGGTCTGTAATCAGATTTAATATGGAATCTCTCTACCTTTTCTTTTACTAAAAGTAGCCAACAATGCTTTTTTGAATGACAATTACAGTGTAATTCTGCAGAAAAAATGTGACCTTTTGTAACTATCTGCTGAATTAATCTCCATTCAGTTAAAGATGAAAAAAAGAAAAGAGGATGGGGGGGTGGTTCCTAATTAAAAGAAATAAAAAGAATGTAAAGAATCTGCTAGTGACCAGATAAGTTGGGATCCATCTCAAATGGAATTAGATTCCTCTGTGCTCTGTAACACAGTTAAAAACGTTATACATGCTCTCAGATACATTACTTGCCTAACTAGATGTATAAGACATTTAAGGAGCCTAGTGAAAGGCATAAATTATTGGAAAAATATAAACTGTGATTGTGAAAACTAATACACAATTCTGGTAGAACAAGTTATAACAAAAGATTCTGTGTATCTGTGAAATGAAGCTAAGTTCCCAGGATGGCCTCTGAAAACCCTGCTTTGTTTATCTGCTCTAATTCACATACTCATTCAAATCATATTTATTGTAATTCTATAATATATACATTCATTGACCCTTTAATGTGATTGAGCTACTTTAATACCAAAATTTACTTTTCATTTATGAGTTTTATATTGCAGACCTCTATTGTACATGTAATGTTAATAAAGCAAGATAGTATGAACTTTCACAAAGAATTTGCAGACAAGACTTGCTTTATTTTTAAAATATATTTATGTAGAATCTACAAATGTTGTGCTTTTTTTTTTTTAATTTTATTTATTTGACAGAGACACAACAAGAGAGGGAACACAAGCAGGGAGAGTGGGAGGGAGAGAAGCAGGCTTCCCGTGGAGCAGGGAGCCCGATGCAGGGCTCGATCCCAGGACCCTGGGATCATGACCTGAGCCGAAGGCAGACGCTTAACGACTGAGCCACCCAGGCGCCCTGCAAATGTTGTGCTTATTAATGTGAATGACATTGTAGCAAATTTCACTCACAATGGCTCTCTGCTTTGACTTCTCATCATAATGACTATGGTCATATCATTCTCTAGCCTGCAGTGGTCATGCAAAAGAAACATAAGTGCACTATGCATTGTCTACATTTATCCTTATTAAAAAAATGTATCCACGGAAATGGTGAAAATGTTCTAAGTTAGATTATGGTGGCGGTTGCACAACTCTGTAAATACACTAAAAATCATTCAGTTATAGCCTTTATTTTTTGTTGTTGTTGTTAAAGGTTTCAGTTATGTATTTGAGACAGAGAGAGAGCACAGAGGGAGAGGGAGAAGCAGACTCCCCACTGAGCAGAGAGCCCAAGGCAGGGCTCAGTCCCAGGACAATGAGATCATGACCTGAGCTGAAGGCAGATGTTTAACTGACTGAGCCACCAAGGCACCCCCAATTATAGCCTTTAAATGAGTGAAGTTGATAATATGTAAATTATATCTCAATAAAGCTATATTAAGAACTGATCCATCGATTAAATTATTAGAAAAGCAAAACTATCTGTAAAACTCCAGCCCACAAAAATTAGAATTATTTTGAATCATCAAAATTAATAACAATATCTCAGTAAGGGTTGCTGGTTGGATAAGAGGACTGGGGGGCTGTGAGCTCTCAGGCTACTCTTCCATGGTCTTCCCACAGGAAAGCCCAGCAGAGCACGGGGAACTTATCAGAGTTGAGGACCATGAATTACTTACTGCTTTTTAAGAGAAAAATCATGTCTCAAGCATCAGTTTAGCCACTGGGCACAATTAATTTTGGTACCTGTTACAAGAGATTGTGATGTTCCGAATAGGTCCACACCATGATTGGTAATTTCTGCTTTTAAAAATATTTAATGTTATAGGAAAACATTAATATGTATTATATACAATATGCAATATATAACTGATATACAATATTGTATATTTTATCTATTATATAAATATAGTATATATAAATTTATAAAACTAGAAAGGCACATATATACCAAAACTTTAATACTATCTCCAGATACTGAAAGCAAACCTAGTAAACAGTTAATTCAACGGTTGATGATTCTGCTTTTGGACCTTTGACGAAATATGTGGTGGTGTGTGTGTTTGGCCAAAATCGGTTTCACAAAACAATTCATATGTCTCAAGAAGAGTGCAATCTTGGCTTATTACCAGAATAATTGGAGAGGTGGGGGCAGGGGTTGTGGTGTACAGATCGGTAATCTCAAATGACAGTTACAATAAAACTAGTTAAAATTCAGCACACATTTACCGTCTCTACACATAATTCGAAAGTCTCAAAATAATTCCAGAACAAATGTTTAGAAACAAAGAACCACCACACCAGTGAAGATAAAAGATTCTGTTACATGTTTAGCTTCTTAGCTGACCTCCCCTTCATTCTGGAGTTCAAAAGGGATGAGAAGGGCAAAGCCTGATATGGCTGCAAATCCATTGACCCTCCCCTCCCTCTCATTTTCCGTTCCTTCTCTGTGGCCCTAAATTCACAATATTACTTGCTCCCTCAGGAGATCATTACTGATTGCTCTCTGGATGGACTGCTCTCACATGGAAGGGGTCCTGGGGACCACATAAATGACTGTGCCGGGAAGGGGCATTCCCTAGTCCTGGTGACCTTGGAACATCCACAGATTAGCAAGAATTTGTAAACAGTAGGCATACTGCATGTTGTCACTTTCTTTTTTTTTTTTATAGATTTTATTTATTTATTTGAGAGAGAGAGAGAATGAGAGATAGAAAGCACGAGAGGGAAGAGGGTCAGCAGGAGAAGCAGACTCCCTGCTGAGTAAGGAGCCCGATGCGGGACTCGATCCCGGGACTCCAGGATCATGACCTGAGCCGAAGGCAGTCGCTTAACCAACTGAGCCACCCAGGCGCCCATGTTGTCACTTTCTTAGAGTGATTTTTTCAAAAATGTACACTTTATCACTCACTTCAGGATGAGCAAGAGTTGACTACTGCATTTCATCAAATCTAAGATCCATCAATTATCCATTATGTTATGGACCACAGAGAAAGAAAAAAATGCTGCTAATTACATAACTAAATGCTTTCTTATTACTTAGAAGTTTTCCCCACAATGTCTGTCGTACTCTATTCTGTCATCCTCTGTGCATTTCTTAAAAGAGTGCTCCACTCCCGTCTCTGGGACCTCCTTCCAAGCCTCTGACATGCCTTCCGCAAGTTTTCTACTGGAACTTTCTTAACCACACCAGAAGGTGTCAACAAAAGGTTTTCAGGTAACTATTAGAAACACATTTTATTTTTATTCAAGTATGAATTAACATACAGTGTTATATTAGTTTCAGGTGTACAATAGAATGATTCAACAATTCTATACATTTCTCAATGCTCATTAAGTATACTCCTAATTGCCTTTATCTATTTCACCCATCCCCCCTCAGAGATCACCAATTTGTTCTCCATATTTGAGAGTTTGCTTTTTGTTTTGTTTTGTTTCTTCAACTCTACATATGAGTATATGGTATTTGTCTTTCCCTGAATGACTTATTTCACTTAGCATTATACCCTCCAGGTCCATCCATGTTGTTGCAAATGGCAAGATCTCACTCTTTTTTATGGCTGAGTAATATTCCATTATATATATCTGTATATCACATCTTTCCTTTTAAAGATTTATTTATTTATTTGAGAGAGAGTGCACTCGAGTGGAGGAAAGGGCAGCGGGAAAGAGAGAATCCTCAAGCAGACTCCCCACTGAGAGTAGTGCCCAACACTGGGCTCAATCCTACAACCCGGGATCATGACCTGAGCTGAAATCAAGAGCCAGCCGCTTAACTGACTGAGCCACACAGGCGCCCCTATATACCACATCTTTATTCATTCATCTATCAATGGGCACTTGGGTGCTCCCACATCTTGGCTTTTGTTTTTTTAAGATTTTATTTATTTGACAGAGAGACAACAAGAAAGGGTACACAAGCAGGGGGAGTGGGAGAGGGAGAAGCAGGCTTCCAGCTGAGCAGGGAACCTGATGTAGGACTCGATGAATCCTGGGATCATGAACTGAGCCAAAAGCAGACACTTAATGACTGAGCCACCCAAGAGCCCCTCTTGGCTTTTATAAATAATGCTGCAATAAACTTAGTGGTGCATATATCTTTTTGAATTAGTGTTTTTGTTTAGGTAAATACTCAGTAGTGGAAATACTGGATCATATGGTAGTTCTATTTTTAATTTTTTGACAAATCTGCATACTGTTTTTCATAGTGCCTGCACCAATTTGCATTCCCTCCAACAGTGCATGTGGGTTCCTTTTTCTCCACATTCTCACCAACATTTGCTATTTCTTGTCTTTTTGATTTTAGCCATTCTGACAGGAGTACAGTGATATCTCCTTGTTGTTTTAATTTGTGTTTCCCTGATGACTAGTGATGTTGGGCATATTTTCATGTGTTTCTTGGCCATGTGAATGTCTTTGGAAAAACATCTATTCAGGTCCTTTGACCATTTTTAAATTGGATTATTTGGGGGTTTTTTGGTGTTGACTTGTATAAGTTCTTTATATATCTTAGATATTAACCTCTTATCAGGTATATCATTTGCAAATAAATTCTCCCATTCAGTAGGTTGCCTTGTTCTGCTACTGGCTTTCTTTGCTATGCAAAAGCTTTTAATTTTGTTGTAGTCCTGATAGATTAATTTTGCTTTTGTTTCCCTTGCCAGAGGAGACATCTAGAAAAATATTTCTACAGCTGATGTCAAAGAAATTACTGCTTATTTTTAAAACAATTTTATAGTTTCAGGTCTCACATTTAGGTCTTTAATCTATTTTGAGTTTATTTTTGTGTATGGTGGAAGAATGTGATCCAGTTTCATTCATTTGCATATAGCTGTCCAGTTTTCCCCACACCCTTTGTTGAAGAGACTGTATTTTTCCCCATCGTATATTGTAGATTAATTGACCCTAAAAGTGTGGGGATCAATTCTGTTCCATTGAACTATGTGGCTATTTTTTGTGCCATACTGTTTTGATTATTACAGCTTTATAGAGTATCTTGACATCTGAGGTGTGATGCCTCCAGCTTTGTTCTTCTTCAAAATTGCTTTGGCTATTTAGGGTCTTTTGTGGTTCCATACAAATTGTAGGATTATTTATTCTAGTTCTGTGAAAAACATTGTTGGTATTTTGATAGGGATTGCATTAAATCCGTAGATTGCTTTGGACAGTGTGGACATTTTATCAATATTGTTTCCTTCAATCCATGAGCATGGAATATCTTTCCATTTGTTTGTGTCCTCTTCACTTCATCCATCAGTGTTTTATAATTTTCAGAGTACAAATCTTTCACTGACTTGGTTTTAAGTTTATTCCTAGATATTTTATTCTTTTTGGTGCAATTATAAAGGGGATTGTTTTCTTAATTTCTTTCTGCTACTTCATTATTATTGTATAGAAATGCAACAGATTTCTGAATATTAATTTTGTGCCCTGCAACTTTACTAAATTCATTTATCGGTTCTAGTAGTTTTTTGGTGGAGTCTTTAGAGCTTTCTATTTATAGTATCACGGCATCTGCATATAGTGAAAGTTTTACTTCTTCCTTACTAATATGAATGCCTTTTATTTCTTTTTTTTGTCTGATTGGTATGGGGAGGGCTTCAGTATTATGTTGAATAAAAGTGGTAAGAGTGGATATCCTTGTCTTGTTCCTGATCTTAGAGGAAAAGCTCTCAATTTTTCACCATTGAGGATGGTGTTAGCTGTGGGTTTTTCATATATGGACTTTATTATGTTGAAGTATATTCCCTCTAAATCTACTTTGTTGAAGGTTTTTATCATGAACGGACGTTGTACTTTGTAAAATGCTTTTTCTGCATCTTTTGAAATGATCATATGGTTTTTATCCTCTCTGTTATCAATGTGATGTATCACGTTGATTGATTTGCTAATACTGAACCACCCTTACACCCCAGGAATAAATCCCACTTAATCATGGTGAATGGTGAATAATTTTAATGTGTTGCTGGATTTGGTTTGCTAATATTTTATTGAGAATTTTTGCATCTATGTTCATAAGAGATATTGGCCTCTAGCTTTATTCGTTTTGTATTGTCTTTGTCTGGTTTGGGTATCAGGGTGATGCTGGCCTCATAAAATGAATTTGTAAGTTTTCCTTCCTCTTCTATTTTTTGAAAAAGTTTGAGAAGAACAGGTATTAACTCTCCTTTAAATGTCTGGTAGAATTTACCAGTGAAACCATCTGGTCCTGGACTTTTGTTTGTTGGGAGTTTTTTCATTACTGATTCAATGTCATTGTTAGTAATTTGCCTGTTCAAATTCTCTACTTCTCCTGATTCAGTTCTGGAAGGTGATATGTTTCTAGGAACTTAACTGTGTCTTCTAGGTTTTCCAGTTTGTTGGCATATAATTTTTCATAATATTCTCTTATAATCTTTCATATTTCTGTGGTATCTGTTGTTCTTTTTCCTCCATTTCTGATTTTATTTATTTGAGTCTTCTCCCTTCTCTTTTTCAATGAGTCTGGCTAAAGTTTTATCAATTTTGTTGATCTTTTCAAAGAACTAGCTCCTGGCTTCATTGATCTGTTCTATGGTTTCTTAGTCTCTATTTCATTTATTTCTGCTCTAATCTTTATTAGCTCCTTCCTTCTACTGGCTTTGGGCTTTGTTTTGTTTTATTTTCCTAGCTCCTGTAAGTGTAAGGTTACGTTGTTTATTACAGATTTTTCTTGCTTCTTGAGGTAGGCCTGTATTGCTATAATCTTCCCTTTTAGATCAGCTTTTTCAGCATTTCAAAGATTTTGGACTGTTTTCATTTTCATTTGTCCCCATGTATTTTTTTTTTTATTTAGAGACACATCTTAAATGGCAATTAAATGCACCCCTTGTAGTACAATCAATGTACATAATTTAATATGAATAACCATGATTGAGTTTATGCATGTGCAGCCAAACAACAGCCACCATGCAGTTGCCCCCACACCCCCACTCCCCATCAGAGAGTGATCTCAAGGAACATTCCATTTCAGAGTTATTAAGCTGAGGAAAAAATATGTTTCTTAGAATGAATGACTCAGGAAATATGAAACTGTAAGTGAGCAAGAGGGTACCCAACCTAGCAAATGCTGAGTAAAATATACCTTTTTGACAGAGGGGCAGGTGTTGATAGACCAATATAGGCCTTCAGTGCTTACCATGTGATAGCTATGGTGTTCACTGTTTCCTATACATCACTGCATTGAGTTGGGTCATTTTATCTTCATCTTACAGATGAGGAAATTGAGCTCAGAGATGTTAAGTAACATGCCCAAGGTCTCAAAAGTAGGTGACAGAGCCCAAATATGAATCTTGATGTGTCTGACTCCACAGAGTTCTTTATATTCCCACAATACCAGTTTCCATAGTGGCCTCATGGCACTTGAGTTCTGATGGTGATTATGGTCGCTGTTCACCTGGCCCAGGTATTCCTGAAGGGATTCTTTAAGTCAGAATTTTATGAAGAGGAGAAGGTATTGTCTGTAGTGACTGCAAGCACAATATGGAGAACTTGACACAAGTGATAAAAGAGTGAGCGTAACCATATGTAAGGATATTCATTCATACAACTACCACCAGCTGGAAAGTTAGTAATTGAGGCTACTCTGGCTTTTTACAGGAAGAAAACTCGGGCTTCTTATGACCCTCCACTTTACAATAGTTATTTGAGACTGTATTACTTCCTTTGTCACATTATCAAATATCTTCCTTGGCTATAAAAGCCCAGGATTCCACTGTTTGACAGTTTCAGGCCAACCCTGAGCTATGAACTGACTGGTTCCACTCCCCAAAAGACCATGATTAGAATCATTGACTAATGATTTGAGCTGAGCTCAAATATAGACAGCAGCCCTAGGAGCACGTCACCCACCTTGCTTAGGTAGAAAAACTCTTTCTAAGACATGGACCTCTCAGGTATGAAATGAAAGTAAGGATTTGTATGGTTTTTCCTTTGTGTGCACTTTATTTTCTATTTTTGTTCCCTTTGCAAAAGACTTCATCATGCAAAGGAGGAAGCCCAAACTGAAATGAGTTAAGAACTTCATCTCCGAGAGAGGATTGTGGCTTCGCCCTGAGTTGAGGTGAGATATGTTGGTGCATACTGATGAGACCAGATTAAGCTCTACCTCGTCACACCTTCTCCTTCTCTTTCTCCATTCTCTCTTCTGTTCCTTCTTGACTTACTTTCCAAGCTTTCTTTGCCTCTTCCCCTCATCTGGGAACTCAGTGTACCAAGGATGCTGCTTACAGTGATCAACTTTTCTAGATCTCCAGAGGAGGGGGCACATGAACTGATATGAGAGAATCTGAGCTCGGAAGGATACAAAAGTGTAAGAAATCAACAGCTGTTCTGGAAAATGAAGGATGAACAATTGCTGTGACTTTGCTTGTCACCCTGACCCAAAAGGTTGCTGACCTTTGTTCTCCTTCTGCCATCATACCTTGCTTTCATTAAAAAAAACGCTCTTTTCTAGTGATTTCTTGTTGTGTTCCAGGAGATTCCCCATATGTTTAGCCCCCAAAGATCCATCTGATGCTTTGATCACTTGCTATGTCCTCTGGTTCTCTAAGGCAGCTTCACCGTCTTTCAACAAAGTGATGATGGAATAGATGCCTTGTGCTATTGGATAAGTTGGGAAGGAGAGAAAATGCAGATGACAAGCCTTTCTGTGGTTTTTTTCCTACCATCCCATCACTATGAGGAGTCTTCCATTGCTGTTGTAAAGCTCTTTTCTTGGAAACCTGGGGTGACTAAATAAAACCTTTTTGCACGTTAACCCTCAGACCTTGTCTAACTCCTCCATATCTTCTTTTACATCCTCTACCCTCTCCTCTATACCTTTTACTTCCTCTTTATATTATTATTATTTCCATTAACTTCTTTAAAATAATCACAAACATACAGAAATATTGCAAGTACAGTACAAAGAACATTTTTCCCCAAATCTTTTAAGAGTAATTTGCCAATTTGATGCCCCGTGACCCCCAAATACTTTAGTTTGTGTTTCCTACAACCAAGGACATTCTCCTATATGGCCAAAATTTAACCATCAAAATCAGAACATGAACATTGTGTAATACCATCATTTAATCCTGAGACCCCATTCAAATTTTACCATTTATCCCAATAATGGGCTGCATAGCTAACAGATCCTGTTCAGAAGCTCAGTTGCAGTTAGTTACCACATCTCTTTAGTCTCCTTCGGTCTGGAATGGTTTTTTAGTCATTCTTTGACTTTCATTATGTTGACATTTTTGAAGATCACAGACCAGTTATTTTGTCAAATATCCCTCAAATTGGATTTGTCTGATATTTCCTAATGGTTGGTTTCGGGTCATGCATCTTTGGGAAGGATATCACAGGAGAATGCTCTGTGCTTCTCATTATATCCTATAAGGTGATGGACCATTTTGATTTGTCCCATTACTGGTAGTGTTCATCACTCCACTATGATGGTGTGACTTCTTCACTATAAAGTTACTTTTTCCTCCTTTGAAATTAATAAGTATGCTGGTAGAAGGTACTTTGAATGATGTAAATTCTCAGTTCTTCCCCAAACTTTTAATTTATTCATTTATTTATATCAGTATAAATTCTCATGGTTTCCTATTTTATTTGATCAATTCCCCTGTATGTAACCAATTACCCTCCTCTTCCACCATCCTCTCTCCTGCTCGGACATCCTCCTCACCCTGCTAGGTCCTGATTTCTTACACTGCACCTCCCTTCTCCTGACAACAGAGGTCTTCTTGCCTCCTTTGGGTTCTGAGCCAAGGCTCTCCACCCTCCCAGTACAGATCTCTTTGTCCCAGCTAATGGATCTAGGACAAAACTGTTCAGGAATAAAAGGGAATAGGAAGGGCGCCTGGGTGGCTCAGTTGGTTAAGCGACTGCCTTCGGCTCAGGTCATGATCCTGGAGTCCCGGGATCGAGTCCCGCATCGGGCTCCCTGCTCAGCGGGGAGTCTGCTTCTCCCTCTGACCCTCTTCCCTCTCGTGTTCTCTATCTCTCATTCTCTCTCAAATAAAAAAAAAAAAAAAGGGAATAGGAAGAAGGAGGACACCTTCTGTATTCTTTGGTGCTCCCTCCCTTTCCTCCTTTCCGTCTGTCCTGACCTGTTCTGAGCCCTCTCACTCTTGCCACTTCTCATGTCCATCTTTCCAAGAACTCAGGGCAGTATTGAACCATGGGCAAAGGCATAATCAGTCAGACTATGAAGGTTTGAATCCTGGCATGGGGACTTGGGTAAGTTACTTCCCCTCTCCAAGCCTCAGCTGCATGCATGAGCATCTTAAGAGTGCTATTTGATAGTATTTTCGATAATGCATGTAAAGTCTTTGCTGCCTGCCACATATCAAGCACTAAATAAATTTTATTTTTATTTCTCATCCCCTATGTTTTAAATGGTGGTGGTGGTGGTGGTGGTTTTCTCTCTCTCTCTCTTTCTCTCTTTTCCTGAATGCTCTTTCTGTCTCATTATTTTTACACTTTAGCTTCACTGAACTATTTTACTTGCTTGCTTTTCCTGATTCTTTTTACTTTCCCTATGTTTGTTCATGCATAGATGTGCTAAAGGGAGGCATTGAGTTGCCACCAGCAGGAGGTCTGATGGGGAATTCCCGTGCCCAGAGTCATTGCTCATAGGATGTCAGGTAGCTGTGGTCTCTGCAGCCCGTGACCCTGACTGGGACAGCAACAAGACATGTCCACTACTTACCTACTTACTTAGCTTGAACAAAAGGGGAAAACAAGGCTCTGAGAAAGGACTGAGGTGTAACTATATGCCCCCAGTGGAACACAGGACAGCTGCTTGCCAGTTAAGGACCCCTCCTCTAACTGACATGGGCTTGGTGAAGAGGGAAGGGGGTGACCTTTTGAACATATGAACAGAATTACATTCTGAGGCCTTGTTCCCCTCTTGGAATTCTGTCATTTCTGGCTGGTAAAAGGTGAAATCCCCTGTTCCTTGTTGAAGCAATTTCTGGAGAGAGTCAGAGCGAGAGAATGGAGGAGATAGACAATAGTCGTTGATTAGGTAGAAAGCCACTATTTACCTGTCAACCTAGAGCTAAGCATCAGTCAAGGGTGAATGGTCAGGAAAAGATGTTCTCAGTTTAGTATAGTTTTGATACCCTACTTACCAAAAAAAAAAAAAAAAAAAGTATTCGAGAATTCTGCATAATGGAAAGGGTAGTGGTACCATTAATTAGAAAGAGAGAAAATGACAGTTTGGGGGATGTGACACATAAGTTTCACGACCTCCTAGAGAGGCCTTTTCTAACTGCCTTCATTAATTAGGGTTGCCAGCCCCACACCCCAGGCTGCATAGGAGCAGGGATCTTACAGTCAGGTTCAGATGTATCACCAATGCCCAATGCAGTGCCTGGCATATCATAGATGTTGATAAAATTTGTTGAATTAATGAGTAAATGAGGCAAATTTATTATATTAAATTTTCTCTGTATCTGTTCATTGTGTTCCCATTCCCTCGACTTTCTAATGTTTGTATGTAAGCACCATGAAGAAGAACAATAGGAACTCTACCATAAGGATCAATGAGCAAGATGCCATCTCCATCCCACCCTCCCAAGATCCAGGAGATCTTCAAAATATGTTGAATGGAGGAGAGTATGCCCCTTTTGTATCTCCTCCCATATTAGAGAGCAATTTTATCCAGGTAAATAATATTTGAGCCCTGAATTAAGTTCCAGTAAGTTCAGTGATTAATTTTCTCAAAGAAATTGAAAAGATTAAGAGGAGAATTATTTTAAATGTGATAAAGGAATGCATGAGACAATTAAAGGGAACAATTTTGGGACTTTAACCAACCTAAAATAATTATAATGTTAAAAAAAATTCATTTCAAATTTTCCCAGCAAACTCTCACCTAGGAATTCTGTTTTAACTCCATCATAATTGTCATTCTATCATAATCTTCCCAAAATGACATGAAGAGATTACAGTAAATTCAGAACATCCTACCACAGGAAAGCTTTCAGATAGCTCCTTTCTTAGATTTAGAAGACATTTTAAAGAATAACATCTATGACAACTGGGTATTTAGCTCTTAGTTCTGAAATTAAAAGATAATTGTCAAATTGTGAGGGAGAAGAGTTTTCTTCTCATAAAAATATACCTACATTATGAATGAAACTACATTTCAATGCATTTGAGAGCAGTTCTCACTTTTCTCTAAACATTCAACATTAAAACCTTCAGACAACATTAAAGGGGAAATGAGTTCACTGTTGTTGGCCATACCCCTAAACCGCACAGTAAGGCCACAACCAAGTGTAACACGAAACACACCCACTCAAGCAGCTCCTCAGCTGATTCTACAGAGGGGAGACAGGGGAGACAACAGAAACTTCTTCCATAAATGTGTTCTCTGCCCTGATGCCTTGGGCTTGAAGGAGACCTCCTCACCTCCAGAACACACACCTCCAGAGGCAGGTGTTTAAAGAACACATTTAAGTAATGCCCAGAACACATGTGATAGGTCATGATTTGATGATTTTACCTTCTATATGCTTCTTTCCTACTAATAATCTTCTTATTTTATTTTTCACACTTCTTCCTACTCCCTTTTCAAATAACCTTTTGCATGCTCTAATGAACCCTGGGGGAGGTAGGTGGCACTCTATAGACAGACATGCTGCATATCATAATTGGGTGAGGTATTCCCTTCAACATACACAACCTCTCACGGTTAGTATGTCTTTGGCAGCAAGTTGCCACAGGTCCCTGACCTGACTTTAAACAAAAAAGAACAACAGTTATGTCAAAGTAAAAGAGCCACAGGGCATCAGCTCACTTGCAGGGAGTCTTCAAGGACCCAGGTCCTCTCCTGTGCTCTATCCCCCTCGAGGTAGCTCCCCTCCGGACATTACAGGCAAACAGGACAGTGACAGTTGCCAGAAACAGAAGAGATGCTCTCATCATAGCAACTTTCTGTGAGGACTGAGAAACCTTTCCCAGAGCCACCAGGAGGCCCCCACTGTGTCTCGTTGGCCAGGCCTAGGCCACATTGCCCTGCTGAAAGCAAGCACTAGCAAGGGGATGAAATCACCATGACCAGTTGAGGTTTATCAGTATTTAGCCCCTGAGCCAGAGCACCATCCCTCAGGGGCAGTACCAGATGGATTCTGGATTCTGTTAATCAGGCATGGCTTTGGGCAGGTCCATAGCATGGGCTGCAACCTCTTTCTGAGGGGAGATGTGTGTGTGTGTGTGTGTGTGTGTGTATATACATTTTTTTTTTTAGTGATTTTTTTGTGTGTGTTTTTGAGTTAATGTACAGCTGAGAAACAAAGTGTTGCCCCTCTCTGGCTTCCTTCACATCCCTGTCTGGCCACTTTCCAGAGTTCTTTTCTTCCAACTGGCAGAGATTTTACTGGCCAAGAATCTTGGATTTTGGGATTTTTGCATATGCTGTTCTTCTGCCTGAAAATCTCTCCTGTCCACCCAGCCAGTTTAACTCCCACATTGTTCGGGTCTCAGCCAGAGGTCTCTTTCTCAGAGGAGATTTCTCTGACCCCATGTCTGGGGTGTGCTGGAGCTGGCTGACTAGTAAGTGTCCAGGAAATTTGGAAGTCCGTCGTTAAACACAGGTATTATTAAAAATTAAATCATATAAACTCATATACTCAAACCTCATTGTTCCTATTATTTTACAACATTTTACTATTATTTATGCTCTTAAGGTTACAGATAAAAGAGTTTGACAAAGGTCAATGAAGACTTCTGTGAGCATCAACTGACTATACTGAAATTAAAATAAAGCTTTGTATATAGCATTATTTGTAAATAATAAACATGTGCATATCTTCTAAGAGATAGTTGTTACACATTTACCAGCACACCACTACCTGTCTCCCCTCTTAAATCAAGTCTCCTGCTATATGCCTTACAGCACAGCACCCTGAACTTGTACTTGGTAATACTTCCTGCAATAATAATTAGTGACATATTTGTTTAATGTTCACCTTCCCTGATAGAACCCCCACGGCCCAGGGACTATGTCTGTCCATTCACTGTGGTATCTCCAAGAATTCACATCAGCAAGTGATTGAACAATGCATCATCACAGTTCATTTCTACTTTATTTCCTACACTGCTCAGGTAAGTGCAGTTGTCGGGGCCATGCACTTTAGCAGAAAACTCCTCTTCCTGTTCTCTGCCTTAGGTTAACAGGAGAGGTGAATCCATTTACCTTCATAACCGAGCCAACTGGGTGACTGTAGGCATCTGCTCTTCCAGTAAAACCCACAAGACCCCCAATGTGATGCTTCTGGCACATCTGACCCCTGAAGCTCAGAAAGATACAGAACCCCTGTTTCAACGTCTCCTGACATCTCCTTCGCCAGAGAACCTGGTGCTCACCAGGTGAGTTACAAAGGGAAGAGGCTAAGGATCTCTCAGAAAATATGCTTTACCCCTGAGAAGCTGAAAATAAAAACACCAATGGCATTTGCTCCAAGGGAGCTTCTCACTTGCACTCTGCTACAACTGACAGTCAGTCATGTCCTTAAAGTCTGGGAAAATAGCTTATGACAAGCTAGCAGTCAAAGAGGTATTTAATTTTTAAAAATCAAACCTAAGTAACAGTAACTGAAGATCCATTATGAACTGCCTCTCTAGAACAGGCCCTTCCTTCCCAAGCATCCCAGCTTCCATCAGAATTTGCTCTGGTCTTGTCTCAAGCCACTAACTTGCTATGTGACCTAGAGCAATCACTCAACTTCTCTCAACTTTGCAGGATTAACAAAGCCTGACAACCTCTCATGATAAGTAGTTGATACGCTGATTTTTTTAGTTCATCAGAGTCTTAGGAGTATGATTTGAGTGAGATGGCCCCAGGGACCCTGGTTCCATGTGCTAAAAAAACAAAGTTTTGAGCCTCAAAAGCTAAGGGCCAGACCTGGGAACATGGTGGCCACAAGAAGGTACTGCCCAACCCCATGCCTGCCCCAGCCCGGGCCTGTCTGGGAGACAAGGCTGTTGTCCTGCATCTCACTCAGCAAACTGCTATACAACAGAAAAGGAAAGGCCTTTTTTTAGGTCTCCAGTCAGGCCTCCAGACGACATTTGTGTTGGTTTTCAGGTTTCTCCCTCTGCAGTTTGTGACTCTTTCTGTGCACGATGCTGAGAATATGCGCCTCAAAGTAAAGCTGGTGAGTGGTCGAGCCTACTACCTACAGCTCTGCGCCCCTGCGTGTAAACAGGACACCCTCTTTTGTCAGTGGGTGGAACTCATCTCCCTCTTGAATGAGGAGAAAGCCAAAGCTTCCAAACTGTCAGAAGTCTCAAGCCTCTCAGAAGTCACAAACAGCACAGACATCACAGGCTCGACGGACATCATGGATATTGCAGCGTTCACAGCTCTACAGAGCCCACCCCTGTGCACATGTTCAGACCCCGTACATGCCACAGAAAGCACTGATTTCTCAGATTTCACAGATGATGTCACCGATGTCACCGATGTCACAGATGTTCCAGAAAATGAGGTCAGAGAGACCCCAGATATAAATATTGTCACAGAAGTCACAGAAGTCACAGACCTCTGTGACGTCCCAAACTGCTCAGAGGTCACAGTGGTGTTTGAAAATGATGACATACTAAGGGCCAAGCAAGAGGAAAAGGTAAGCGACATGGCAGACTTTCATTCTTTAATAATCAAGAACAAGAGTGATAACCAAGATCATTTTTCTTGGTTAGCTCCTTGACACTGGTTATCAAAATGCTACGGAATGTGCTCTGAATAACCTAATTTTAAGAATGGGATATTAGCCCTGAGCCCTGGTATAAAGGAGTTGTAGGATGTATCCTGAAAGAGGCAGGGACCGTCCTTACCAACAAATTTAACCCAGTGTCAGAAAGCTATGGTGGGATGGAAGGAACTTTGGGACCAGGGTCAGAAGACCTGGGTTGGACTCTTGCCCTGCTGCATAGCTGTTTGGACAAACCACTGGAGCTGCATGAGCTGCATGAGTTTCCTCATCTCCAAAATAAGGATATTAATGTCACATAATGGCTATTTTAAGGTTTAAATGTGTATAAAAGTATGCACTACATTGAAGGATGGGGTGAAATTTCAACGGGTAAAAGTGAGGGTGGGTATAGAAAAATAAAGTGCCAAAAGAAGTGAGTGGCTTTAGAAAAGGCTAATAAGGGGAAAAACACAGCTGTATCCAAGAAAGTTTAGTTCAGTTTGGCTGGAAAACAATATATGTGAAAAATATTAGGATATAGGTTTGGAAAGTTGTTTGCCAAATCAAGAAGCGTGGACATTGCTCTTTGGGCAAACTTTAACCATAAAAACCCTCTGTGTGAGGGAGTGAAGGAACTGTGCTTTTAGAAAGATTAATCTGATGGTAGCATCGATTGTAGTAAAGGCATAAATTTGAGGACCTACTGCTGGAAAACCTCTGTGGGGCCCATGATAGAAAAATCATAAAGGGCAAGGATAGACATTTTACGGAAGAAAAAAATTGCCAATAAATATACTGGAGAAAGTTGAACCTCATTAGTAACCAAAGGAATGCAAACTTAGAAAAAAAACCTATAAAACTGTTAATTGAAAGAATAAAAATAGTCAATGTTAGTAAAATTGTGGTCAACTTGGGATTCATATAGATTCATGGTAGAGATAAGAACTGGCCCAAACTTTCTTGAAATCGTTATGAATCAAGGGCCTAAAAATGTTTATACCCTTTGACTCAGTGATTCCATTTCTAGGAATCTTCCTTAAGGAATTAGTCAGAAATAAGAATGAAGATTTAGCTGTAAAGATGTTAATTATACCAAATCTATACCATGTTTGTCAAAATGAAATAATGAAAATTTGGAAGGAACCTAAACATCCACCACAGGAGAATCACTAAACTGATACAAATCCATGAAGGGCAGGTGCTGTATTAATCTTTTTCAGAAGCGATCATCATATCTCACAAGATCATAGACAGTCAGTAAATATTTGTTAAGTGAAAGACTACTCTGTAGTTATTAAAATTGTTGGAAAAAATTTTCTTTACCTGGAGAAATTTTCGTGATTGGAAAAAGTTGAGTGAAAAATGAAATATGATCCCTATTATATAAAAATACATTTATATGCTCACAAGAAATAGGAGGGGGAAAAGTCATATTATTAGCAGCAGTTTATTTCTAGATTGTGGGATTATAGGCAATTAATGTTTTCCTCTTCACACTTTTCTGAATTTTCTGTTTCCTACAATAAAAATAATTTTAAATCCAAAAAAATTCAAGCAGTTTTACACACAATTTTTAATGACATGAGGAAAATGCTTTTAATAAATTGTCAAGCAAACAATGTAGGATATATAACTGAAATGTTATCACAAAGCAGATATATAGAAAATAAATAAAAAGACAAAAAGCCTGAATGAAATGTGCCATAGGAGTAGTTATTTCTGGCCAGTGGCCCCAAGCAAGCAATAATTTTCTCCCTTTCACTTTGTATCTTAAAGGATCTTCTAAATATTCTATAATAAATATGTAAATTATGTGTTACTTTCACTGACGGAAAAAAAAAGTTTTTTCCTTAAGGAGGAGGGGACTGTATTATTTTCCAGGGAAGTTAATAGAGGTGGTGGATGAGGCGGTGGCTGTGGGAGGAATGCACAGTGTGAGAGGATAGTAGAGAGACACAGTGTTTAGAACCAGCTGATCAATTGCTCAGAGGCCTGGGACAGATTCTGAGGACGGCAGTGAGTGGCTGGGAGAGGTGGTCCATTAATAGAACCCAGGAGATTAGGAGAACAGGTAAAGATTTTATGGTATTAGTTTTAGGTATAGGTTCTAAGTCTTTTGAAAAATGAACTCTTTTGTCTTAGTGTGAACCTCCTAACTCATGTCACCTATTAGATACTCTTTTTTTTTCTAAGATTTATTATTTATTTGAAGGAGAGAGAGAGCATGAGTAAGCAGGGGGAGGGGCAGAGAGCAAGGGAGAGAAAGGGAGAGAAGCAGACTCCCCGCTGAGTGCGGAGCCTGACACAGGGCTTGATCCCAAGACTCTGAGATCATGACCTGAGCTGAAATCAAGAGTCGGACGCTTAACCGACTGAGCCATCCAGGTGCCCCTCACCTATTAGATACTTTTAAATTAAGAGCAACATCAGATTGGGGAGGAAGTGGCAAGGTATTTCTAGACAACCTTCCTTGCCCCGACAATTCAGAAAAAGGAAATGCTATAATTAAGTGCTAATTTTCTGGTGTAAGCTGACAGTGGTGTACCTGGCCACATGAGCTTCTGAATGTGCTGTGTCAGGTCCCAGACTATCAGCCTCCACACAACACCCAAGCCTCATTCCCTCAACATTGCGCCTGTGTACCTGAAGGAACTCAGTAGATATGAATGAAATGATTACTGTATTAGATATTTTTGCTCCATAAATCATCTATTTCTGTGTGATGTTCTTCTGTTACGTGATTTGCCGCTGTTTATTATTTTCAAAGGAAAAACTAGGAAACACTCTGAAGTCTGGGTGTCTACGAGATGCAAAAACTAAGAACGAGCTCAGAGAACCCTCAAAACATGTCACCATCTCAAATGTAACACTGACTTTCCAAGGTGAACGATGTTTTCATACTACCTTGACTCAAGAAGAAAGTGAGACAAGTTCATTCAAAGGGATGAGTGCCAGATCCTCTGAAATAAGGACAACTGAATTTAAAAGCACATCTCTTGAGGCTGAAGAATCCAGGTAGGTGAGGCAGGGAAACACCAGAGGTGCTGAGACAGGGCGTAACGTAAGTAAGTATATGCTCTCGAGTCTCTGCCACTCTGGCATCTGTTGCTGAAGATTCTCAGCTATAGCTACAATGAATGATGACATAGTCAACTCTTGATTATCCACATTTGGTTTAACCTCATCTAATTTTTATTTTCCTGTCAACTTCTCACACCGTGCAGCTCACATTCAAGGCTACCTGGTGTCAGCTGTGTGTGCTGAAGAATATAGGATAGAATCAGAGTGTCCATGTTTTGGAGTTAAGGCACTCATCTCCCAGAGTGACTATGGGTGCTCTTGCTTTTATCTTTGTACTTCTCTCCATGTTCTTCTCTACATATTTCTTATGCTTTTCTACGTTTCCAATGAATAACTTCATAATCTGAAAAAAATTTTTTCATAATTTTATTTATTCAAGATTTATTTATTTAATATTTTAAATAGAGAGTGCAAGCAGCGGGAGGGACAGAAGGAGAGGGGGAGAGAGAGAGAATCCTGGAGCAGGCTCCCGGCTGAGCACAGAGCCTGACTCACAGGACTCCATCTCACGACCCTGAGATCATGACTGAAGCCAAAATCAAGAGTTGGGCACCCAACCAACTGAGCCACCGACTGAGCCCAACCGACTGAGCCCCTGTTTTCATCATTTTAATACTCAAGTGCAAGCTGAATGTGAGAGAGCACTGTTGTATTCTAAAGATAAAAGTTAATCCAATCATTTCAAAATAACACCTAAAAAGAAACCAGAGAAACATGTAGAGGTTTAAATGCTTACTTGAGCAAGAATGAAATAGGGAATGTAATGAATTATGTCTAAAATCTTTTTAAATATAAAAAACAAGCAGAAGAAAACAAAAACAAACCAAAAAAAGAAAGAAATGAAAAAGATTATAAGTAATTTGAAGTGCTATGGAGTTCTTCAAAAAGAATGACAAAACAGGCAAACTGCTGGACAACTTTTTTTTTTAAAAAATGATAAAATTAGGGATGCCTGGGTGGCTCAGTCAGTTAAGTGTCTGCCTTCGGCTCCGGTCATGATCCCAAGGTCCTGGGATTGAGCCCTGCATCAGGCTACCTGCTCAGCAAGGAGCCTGCTTCTCCCTCTCTTCCCTGCTTGTGCTTTCTCTCACTCTGTTTCTCTCTCTCAAATAAATAAGTAAAATCCTTAAAATAAATAAATAAATAAATAAATAATAAAATTAGAAATTTAAAATGTCATCATCAACTAATAAGAACAATAGTAAAATGTTATTGAGAAAGATTATATACAACTTTTCTTTAATAACTTTGAAACCCTAAGTTAAATAAATGTCTAACAAAAATGCAAGGAGGCAAAACTGGCGCTTGAGAACACAGAAAAAATTTATCCAAGAGCTCCCATAAAAGAAAAAAAACATAGCTGTGACTTTTACTGGACAGTGTTTTAGATACTCTAAGAATTACCTCTATTTAAAGTTTTCTTTTAAATAATAGAAAAATTATGTTCTCCTAGTTTTTTGAAGTAAATAATTTGTCTGGATTATAAAGCCTGAAAGACAACACAAGAAAGAAAATTCTTGATTAATCCTACTTAAGACAATAAATGTTAAATTCATAGAATCTTAGCAGGCAAAATGTAGCGAGCTTAATATAAAATTAAGGAAACTGTCAATATGTCATTGTTATTTAAAAGAAAAGCAGAAAAAAATCATGGATACCTTAAATACATTTGAGAGACTTTGATATTCTTGATAAAGAGCCACAAAATGCAGAAGAGTTCTCCTTTAGCACAGTAAAGAGTATTTATTCTAAACCAGAGCCAACATTGTTTTTAATGAAGAAATTCTACAAGTGTGCTACTTAAAACTTAGAACAAATTAAGGATGTTCCTATTAGTATTTCTATGTGATATAATTTAAGGGAGTCTAGCAATTGCAGTAGAACAAAGAAATATGATAGATAAATATGAGATTTTTAAAAATCTTCACAATGGAAATTCATATTTAGAAAATTTGAGAATCATCAAACATCTTGGTTTGTAAACAATTTTAGGAAGGTCACAGATTATAAGATAAACTCACAAAATATTGTTTGTTTCATGATTTTTATTAACAAACCAAAAATGCTCTGAAAAAAGAATGTATTTTTCAAAAGCAGCAATAAAAATCAAATATCTAGTGAGAGTGATTAGAGTCCTGTATATATGGAATTATAAAACTCTAATGGCAGAAACACAAGACAACTTCAATAAGGAAAACTAAGCTCTCTATCTGGGCAGGTATATTTAAGACAACAGAGTAAGGCCTAAATTAATTTAGAAATTTAATACAGTACCAATTATCTCAATAGTATATCTCATAGAAATTGTACAATTATAGAAAGTATGTGGAAAAAATAGGGTAAGAATCAAGGAAACCATTGGGGCTGGAAAATGTCTAGAGGGACTCAGTTGTATAAAATCTTAAGCCATATAATTAAAAGGCTATCAGAAACACCAGTAAAAAGTTTAGGATATAGAAATTAAGATAGTAAAATAGATTCAAACTGATAAAGTTTCAAAAGAAACATAAAAAAAAGCAAAAGTCTAGAATACATTGGTCAAAATATATGTTGTACCACAAAAAAAAATTTCAGATAGGAAGAGAGTCAAATATTTTAAAACTAAAATAAACTAGAAGAAAATGGGATGGTTGAATGCCTCAGTTGCATAAGAAAGATCATTTCTCCTCCTTCGAAGCAACAGAAGAAATTTTCAATGGCAAAGTTTGATTCATTCATTCCATAATATTCACTGCGTACTTTCTATGTGCTAGGTGCTGGGGATACGGCTGTGAAAATAAGTTAGAGGCTGTTTCATTCTAGTGGAGGATATAGATAATACACAAATAAAATACATTATTCCAGCTGGAATGTGCTGTGATAAAAACAAAAATAGAGCAACAGAATAGAAACAGGGATTTGAGGAAGAGGAAGGATATCTTATTGTGATCAGGGACAGCTTCTCTGAGGAAGGGCAGAGATCTGAAGGAAGGGTAGAACTCTTGGGGAACAGAGTTCCAGGCTGATTGATTGTACAACAATTATAAATATCTGCCCCCCAAATCATTTTAGGTAAATAAATACATAACAGCACAACAGGAAAAGAATAATAATAACTAGATAATCTATAATGGTTTTGCCTCCCATATATAGATATAGCTGATGGGAATTTCTAAAGGATCCAGTTAACAAATGGCTTAAAGTTATGATTAGGAAATTTACTCCAGAAGACGAATAAACAATGAGGAATCAATCTCACTAATAACTAAAGACATACAAGTTAAGCAATTACCAGTTGGCTTTCAATTAGCTGTTAACTATAACACTGATGGGGTCACTGTACATGGTGGGAACTTTCTAAAGAGTGATTTGGCAATTCATACTACAAATGATTATACTGCTTGACTTAACAGAACATGTGTCAAAGAAGTAATTCAAAAGGGAAAATAACTTAATTTAACACATGTTTTGTAGTTAAAACCTGAAAGTGATCCAAACGACCACTGGTGGAAGAATAGCTAACCAGGAAATATTATGTTAATTTAGTGGAACAGCAGATCCCCATTAGGGAAAGAATAGAGAATTTCAATAAAAAGACCTACATGACTAATAAGGAACTACAAGCTAGAAAAGTAAAATTCTGAAAAATGTATATACAATGGTATTTTATTTCTACAAAAGGATGATAAGAAACCACAGTGTTTGGGCATAGTTGGTGATTAAAGGAATTAATATTTGTTGTAGCTATTGATAGATGTTTCCATTAAACTTTTATTGTACATAATCATTATTATGATTACATGCATAATTTAAAATCAAAACTGATGCCAAGAGGCTTTAATTGGATACATTAATTGGAAGACATAGCAGCTAGAGAATAAACTTTGCAGTCAGACAACCCTGGGTTCAAATCCTGCTTCCTTTATTCTTGCACAAGTTAAATTAATTTCTTCAGGCCTCAGTTTCCTCATTTGTAAAATAGGAATAACACTGACCATGTAGAGTTGTTGCAGGGATTAAATAAGCTGATATTAAAAAGCTCACATGTCAGGCACCTGGTAATTACTCCAAAAAAAGAAAAAAGAATTGATTAAAATAGGGAGGGAAGGAGGAAGGAAGAAAGAAAGGGAGGGATTGAGGGAGGGCCCACAGATTCTAGATTAGATTGAACACAGATCTAACATAGTTTTGACTTACATTGAATATAGTAGAAAGATGATTCTATACCTCTGAAGTAACCTTCTACTATACCATCCAAAAACTGAACCCAGAGAACTGGGGGAAAAAAGCATAAAACTGATTAAATATTTTTAATGCAATAAAGAAATTGAGGTTATTTAAACTGAAGAGAAAAACTGTAATAGGTGACAATTACCATCTTCAGTGTACAAGGAAGCACAGGTTTAAGGCTAAATTTAAAAAGTGGATTTAAGGGGAGCCTGGGTGACTGAGTTGTTAAGCGTCTGCCTTTGGCTCAGGTCATGATCTCAGGGTCCTGGGATTGAGCCCTGCATCAGGCTCCCTTTTCGGCAAGAAGCCTGCTTCTCCTTCTCCCACTCCCCCTGCTTGTGTTCCCTCTCTCGCTGTGTGGATTTAAAGTGAAAATTATTGTAACTAAACACAAAGAAAATTTGATTACATAGTAAAACAATATAGCAGATAACCAATCAATAAAAAATAATTAATGGATATCATTGATTAAATATTAATAAAGAACAGAACTTATTTCTGGAGGATGTAGAATCTTTCTCCCTGGAAACTTCTCAAAAACATGCATCAGGCCATTTGTCCTGGATAGACTTCAGACATTCTTCTGCCAGGGATCAAGTCCCATTTGTGTTACATATGTAATTTATGTAATTTTAATCTACTGCTAAAATAAATGACAGAACGTATGGTGAAGTCAAATATAAGTATGTTCTGGAGATTCCTTAAAGGAGTGGAATGGAATGGAAACAGTTAATACACCTGAGTATGTTGTAGGTTCCTGAGAAATAGACTTATTAGATGCTCAGTAAATGATCACTATTGTCACTAATTTTTCATTTCCAATAGTGTAGATAAAAGAAAGTTGGCTATTCTGTCTCCAAAAAAAAAAAACAAAAAAACAAAAATAAAACAAGAAACCCTTACTCAAAAAATATCTTAAGCAACTGAGGATTAATTACTCAAGCTGGCTTCCTTTTTAACCTTTTTTCCTGGCTAAGGAGGGGTCAAAAAAAGCAAAGGAATGTGGGTGATCCTTAGGAGAACCAGAGACCTTGAAATCAGAGCAATGTTTGCTTTCGCTTCTGGACTGCCACAATTCTGGAAATTCTAGAGCCTCTAGATCCAAGTGCCAAAACATTCCAGGATAATGATTTCAATACTTTTGGCTGTCTGCTCAAACAAAGCATTAATATCTAGGGCTTCTATGCCAATGATTCTCAATGTGTGGTTGGTTAGCATCATCACCCGGGAACTTGTTAGAAATGTAAATTCTTGGCCATCCCATCCTCCTAAATCCTAAACTCTGGCCTTCTGTGTTATAATAGACATCCAAGTGGTTCTAATGCACATTCAAGTGTGAGAACCATTGCCTTATGAGAAGCCAGTCCTAGACACAAAGGAGAGTTTAGCAAGAATTACTCTCTCATGAGGGCTTCTCCTGGGGTCCCATAGCCAAAATAAGTATTCCTTTTTATAGCCAGAGTAAGAACTATCGGTTCAAACTCAAGGGAGCCTTCTTCAGGAACTTTTCCTATATGACCAGGAGCTCTGAAATTTGGATTAAAAAAAGAAAATAAATAAATAAATAATTGGTTCAATGTTCAAGAAATTATCCTGCTTTGGATTGAGGGTGGAGAAGTAGATGAAATAATATCCCCCAGAACACTGATCTATTATTTCTTTTTTTTTTTTTTAAGATTTTATTTATTTATTTGAGAGAGAGAGAGAATGAGAGATAGAAAGCACGAGAGGGAAGAGGGTCAGAGGGCGAAGCAGACTCCCTGCTGAGCAGGAAGCCCGATATGGGGCTCGATCCCGGGACTCCAGGGTCATGACCTGAGCCGAAGGCAGTCGCTTAACCAACTGAGCCACCCAGGCGCCCCCTGATCTGTTATTTCTTGATGGTAACAACCATTGAATTCTTTTGGGGAACTAAACAATGGCCAGAAGGGCTAATTGGTCAGTCTGATGTGTTAGAGGAGAAAGAAGGACAAAGACAAAGAAAAAACCAGGAGACAGAGTAAGGAAGGGAGATGGAAATATCAACCATCAGTCCAAGTAATGATAGACAGGAAAAAGGAATATAAGGAGGGGATAGAAACAGGTGCCACTCAGTAGGAAACGTATTTCACTACCACGCATGAGTATGACTTTCACAGAAAAGCATAAGATCTCTAAAAAACAAGATAAAAAATGAATCCATTCAATTTAGCAATGTATTCTAAATAATAATTGATCAGGCCTGATCACTCTGATGTCTTCCTTCTGTTTTTTTTCATCCATATGTCTCCAATTCTATGACCTGCCCTTATCTAAGGCTTCAGAAACACCACAATTCAAAATCTCGCGAAGTTAACTGTTTACGTCATTTCACCTTCTTCTTTCCTTGCCCTTTTGCACATAATAAATGCCCTAAAGCATGAGATTAGCTTTTAGTGCATTTAAAAAAAAAAAACTTTATAAAAGTAATAGGCTTTACTTTTTTTATAGTTTTAGATTTACAGAAAATTGAGCAACTAGTACATAGAGCTCCATATACCCACCCCTCTGCCACCTCCTCACTCTCCCCCCTACCTCCAGTTTTCCCTATTATTAACACCTTGCATTAGTGTGGCACATTTGTTACAATTAATAAACAACATTGATACATTATCATTAACTATAGTTCCTAGTTTAAGGTTCACTCTTTATGTTGCACAGTTCTTTGGGTTTTGACACATACAGTGACATGCACCCACCATTACACACAGATAGTCTCACTACCCAAAAAAAATCCTCATTAGATTAGCTTGTAATAGCTTTCTAAATATTAAAAATTGTAAGGATAACTTAAATTTTTAGGATGTAAAATGCTCTGTAGGTACAACGTTTTGTTAGTCTAACTATTATGATCACAATTAGAAACAATGAGAAAATGAATTCCTATATAAATGGCAAACATCAAAAAATTTTAAAGATAAAAGGGATCTTGAAGGTTAGCAAATCCCAGATTCTTCAAGGCCCTGTGCCCTTCTGTCTGTCAGCTTCCTATATCATTCATCTGCTGAGTCTACTAGGAAGAAACAAAGAAAAAGAAAAACAAAGCAAAAAACAAATTTTGGTTTCAAGCAATCCTATTAAGCTCAACTTAATCAAGGATGGATTCTTTTTTATTGCATATTTGCATCTGGAACTTAATTACTAGCTAGAGCCTAATTTGAGAATGTTCAATATGAATGAAAGATGTTATATCTAAGAACAGAATGGAATTCAGTTTATTCCTGGGACGTTTGTAGGGTTAAGTCAAAATCCTGTGAGAGTGATAAGTAAGTTCTATCTATTTTTCTTCTCCAAGACCAGGGATTTCAGTGACATTTTATAACCATGTACTTTGGGGAAAAAAAAAAATTAAAGGATGACCTTGTTGAATATTTTGCCCTCAGATTTATTAGTCTTTAAAATGTAAATTGAGCAATTTCAATCTAAATGAGTGAAAGACTATGGAGATGTCTATAATGTCACTTTAGTTCCTTTAAAAGTGAAGGATTTACTGTATGAATCATTTATATTCCTTCTCATACCCTGACCATAGTGCTACTATGACTCTTCCCTTTGTTTTATTTATTTTTTATAAATTTCTTTCTTTTTTAAGATTTATTTATTTGAGAGAGAGAGAACAAGCAGGGGGAGCAGCAGAGGGAGAAGGAGAAGCAGACTCCCCGCTCAGCAGAGAGCCTGATGTGGGGTTGATCCCAGGACCCTGGGATCATGACCTGAGCTGAAGGCAGATGCTTAAGGAACGACTGAGCCACCCAGGCGCCCCCCTTCCCTTTGTTTTAAAGAGGATAATGTCAGGCTTCATTTTAATTTGCACCTATTTTTTAAAGTACATTTACTCAATATTTCTCAGTCTCTTAAAAACTTTCATCACTAAGCTCAACCTTCATGTAAATCACCAGACCTATTTGGTGAAGGCTATGTGAGCATTTATTTGCAAACTTCTTAGAAAATTATTAATTTAACCTCTGTTTCAGAAAGATCCATTGTAGACCTCCACCTGGGATTTCTTTGCCAGACCCCTTAAAACGGATCATAATTATGTCTCTATACATTTATCTGGGAAGTTATTGTCTGAGGGTAATTATTCTTCCCAAGTGCTTTCTTTTACTCAAACTGCAATGCTTCCAAAAAATGTATTGAAAATGTAGCCAAGAAACAAAGATTTGGTGAAAATTAAGTGACTGAAGTTTATGTTTCAGCATGCCAATGAGGTTAAGAAAATAAGTATTTTAATTATTGTTATTAATTTTAAAAATCAGGAATGCAGAAACCTTCTTTATCCAAAAGCATTTCTGAAAGTGAAATGATCTGAAAAACTGACAGCTAGCCTCCTATCTGAGCCAGTAAACTATAAGAAATGCAGTTACTTGGGCAAATACTTGGGCATGTTATTTATCTGCAAAATTTCCTAGCCCTGTCGCCCCCATCAGGGCCATAGAGACTGTGATGAAGAAGCCAGCAGAGGTGGGCACCTTCTAACGCCAGGCACCCAGAATCCCTCCCATGTCTCTATGAGAGCCTATATTCCCAACACAAGGGACTCTACACAAGCCCCTGGGCAGCAGCAATTAGCTCAGTCTCAGCCCCAAATGAGTTTTCAGACACTGGAGAGGCAGTAGGATGGTGATGCCCACAGCCTCACAGAGTGACAGGTGATAGATAAAATAAAAATAGATTATATGTTATTATATACTAGTCACTTTTATGGCTTTTAAACTTTGGATAGCTTGCATGTTAACAGAAATGTAGGTAATTTTACTCTAAAATGTGTTATTATATAATACCCTAGGCTTGCTAAACATGTTTCATTACTACCTACAAAGCGTGCAGAGAGTGGCCAGTTATCTCATACCTAGTCATTCTCTTCTAAATATTTGTGGTTACGCTGGCAACATTTTGAAACGTGCTGTTTGTTTTTACAGGAGCACAAGAACTGATTCAGTCACCTCAGGTATGGAACAAATCCCACTACATTTCTTTGTGATCTCTGGTATCTGGTGGTCACCTCTGCGCCCGGGAACAGAGTAGTTAAGAGCAAAGGAATGCAGCTAGCTCTTTTGATGCGTTCCCTTTGCTCCACTCTGAGTCCCACCGTGTAGGAACTCTTCTTCAAAGCCTGTCCACACACTAGCTTTCAAGTAGTAGGCATCTTGGCATTTTTTCTGTGCCGGTAGAGTACTGAATCCGACTCACTGGGCAGGAACCACTCCCAGGCCAGCTCTGCAGGCAGAACCCAAACCACAGGGCCTTTTCTCCTTGCTGATTTGGAAGGGGAGTGGTGTACAATTACATTTCTTGGTAAATCTAAAATCATCTGACCCCTCTTTTCTTCTTACTTGCATCTTCGGCTTCTGCTTCCTTAACTCTTCCCACGACTCAGGATCTTTTTACTTCTTAACAAGTTTTGACACGGGAGTTGTCATATAGGCACCAGTGGACATTGTGTCCCCTTGCTTGCTGCTGACCCACCTCTCAGCTACTGTCTAAGTGGCGGGGGTGGATGGACCTCAGCTCCAGTCATGTGCATCAGAGAACACATGGAAGGAACAGAGGGGCACATTTCACTGGACTTAAATGAAAAGAAAAAAAAATATTTCTATTTTAAAAACCAAGACCACGTGAAGGCAATTCTTAGTCACATTTTCAAGTCTACCAAAAAAAAAAAAAAAAAAGCAAACAATTTGAAGATAGGTGTTTATATAAGTGGGACTTTTGTCTGTAGGCCTTCCCACTGGGCTTAATGTCCTAAAGTACCTGAGGAACTTCACTGAAATGTGGTTTTACCTATAGTCCAATCTATGGTACTGAACCTGAGAACACTGTAGGGAAATGCCATTGTAGTTTAGAAGAAAAATACAAAATCTCCTTTGCAGTATATAGAATTTTCACCTATCAATTTCTACTCCAAATTTTATTTCAAAAAGAAATCACAGTAAATTGATAGAAATTCCAGAGATTTCCAACAGGCAAACATTTTCCTCCTTTAAAAGTGAGGATAAATCATGCAGCAGTCTTATCACTAATAGCTAATTACTATGTTAGCATATAATTAGTACAATAGCATATAACAGCCATTCTGAAGTACTAGTTAGTTAAGCCTTGGGAATTTAAAGTTAATGTAGGATGTTGATAGATTTAGTTTCATTCTATATATGACTGATTCTTTCACCTGTCTTCTGGCACAAACTCAATTTTGTTCAAATGAACAAGCATTTATATTATATTTGAGGCACTGTAGAGAGATTAAAAATAGATAACAGGACATCGCCTGGTCTCAAGACATGGGCACAAATAACATAAAGTAGAATCTTATGGGTGCTTTAAGAGAAAGAAGTGGAGAACCTTGTTTTTGCTCGAGAGAAAATCATGAAAGATTTATGAAGGAAGGAGGCAGTCTTTGAGTTAGGGAAGGGGAAATAAGAATATCCTGGATCTAGGGTATAGTGTGAGCGAAATCAAAGAATGGGACAGTGCTAGGCTTAATCCCATTTAGGAACGTGAGAGATGGAGCTGGAAAGCAAAGCAGGGCCAGATTACGGAAGTCTCGGGCCATGCTGGGGAGTTTGGATAGTACAGTTTGGTAACTAAGGAGGAGCCACTGAAAACCAGAACTAACAAAATTAGTGATGTATTTGGGAACGATTACTCTGACTACGATCTCTAAGAGAGCTAGAGGAGGCTACAGATAGGAAGTCATTAGAATAGTCCAGGGTGGGGGCGCATGGGTGGCTCAGTCATTAAGCGTCTGCCTTTGGCTCAGGTCCTGATCCCAGGGTCCTGGGATCGAGCCCCGCATCGGGCTCCCTGCTCGGCGGGAAGCCGGCTTCTCCCTCTCCCTCTATCTCGCCCCCTGCTCATGTTCTCTCTCTCTCTGTGTGTGTCTGAAATGAATAAATAAAATCTATAAAATCTTTAAAAAAATAAATAAAAGAATAGTCCAGGATGAAAGGTGCCCGAGTCATGAACCCAGTGAAGAGGAATCAGAGGGCAACAAGGACTTGAATACGTAGTTAACAAGACTCATTGACCGACTACCAGTGGGGACAAGAGACAAAAAACAAAACAAAACTAACCAGACGATGACAGAGTTTGGGAGACAACATAGCTAGGAGGTAATGAGTCCATGACACAAGCTGGGAAAATGAATTCCAGGAAATCTGGAAGGAAACGATGAAGAAACCAGCTTTTAAATACTGCACCTAGAATGAAAAGTCCCAGGTTTGAGTTCTAAATTGCACTTCCTCTGTTCCACGGATATGTCATTTAAAGTCTCTGGACCTCAAGCTTCTTCAACTATCAAATATGTGTGCATATGGGTGAGGAATTGAAGCAGGCGTGTTTGGTGTCTCAAGGCCCTTTCAGCTGCTATGACGTCATAAGCTGATATGTGTGTGGTTCTGGTGGCCCATCTTTATAAATTCAGCAACAGCTTGAATGGGGCTCTGGAAATCAGGAGCTCAGCAAAGATACAGCCAACATGCAGCCAAGTTCCACTCTCAGCTTATTAAATCACAAGGGTGGTACAATATACAAATTTGGCTTGCAGTTGTCACAAAGTATTAATTATTTTCCCCGTTTGTTTTCTTTCACATACTTTCTCATTCTTCCCACTTCTCTCTCTGTCTTCCCATGTTTTCTGACTTAGGCTTACATAGTTTTTCCATTTTCCCTCTGATTGGCATTTCCTTCCCCGTTTCCACACTCCTCTGAATCACTTTTCCCCCCTTTGGTACTTACTCACATTTTACACTTCTTACCCCGAGAAGAGCAAAGATTAGAATCTTAGTCCCTTGTCCCATTGAATTTAGACTGAATGTAGATGAAAAATGAGTCGGTGAATCTGATTTCTATTCTAGGCAGCAGAAACTAGGAACTGCTCCCCACTGCAATTAAACAAAACCCTGGTCAAGTTCACGTTCACCCAACTCCGGGACCATACTGCCTGGGGACCATGGTCTCTTATTCATGTCTCAAACCTCTCAGCAGTGTGACACTCTCCTCCTTTCTGAGTAAGGCTTGGTAAAGTGGCACTTCACATGTACTGTTTTTATGACAAGGCTACAGGGCAGAGCCCAGACGGACACTGTCTCTCTGGATCTGGGTCCATCTCTCCCTTTTCTTAGCTTTTAATTTCTTATCTATCTAGGTTTTACTGTCCTTAGCTCTGCTGATCTCTTTATGGGGAACCCAAACTTAGGCTTACCTATGGTCCTACGGGATTTTCCCAGGATGGTAGGCAATTAGACAAAGGGTAGAGAGCTGAGAAGGAAGAGAGGGGAAAATTGCTTACAAAATCCTGGGCATGTCCCCTTCATCCAAACCCATCTTTTTTTTCCACCTTCCTCTGAACTATTGCAAATCAAATTCCTTGCAATCCTAAGCAGCCAGGTTCAGTCTCTACTTATGAAACCCGATCTAAAAAGAGAAAGGGTGGGAGGACCCTAAAAGAGAAGCTGTTTGTGAAATTTAACAATGGGCTCCATTGGAAAGAATAAAGACATTTTTTAATTTAAGACCAAATTAAGTTGTCTCTCCTTCTGTGCTTTTTTTCTCTCCTGCTTCTGGCTTTCTTTTTTCTTCCTCACTTCCCCTCTCTCTCTTCCACTTTCCCCACTATTTTTCTTTTGCCCTCTGGCTCCCTCCCCTCATGTCAAATCTACTTCCTCAATCTCATGCCTCATCTGTCTCCCCTTTTCTCAGGGGAATGGATGTGAGGAAAGGAAAGTAAAACAGAAAAAGAAAAGGCCAATGGAAAAAACATGTAAGACAACCAAAAGGTAATTTTTTTTTACAATTATAAGGCGCTATAGCTATAAAGGACAGATGTGACACTTGCAGAGAAAGTTGTCAACAAATTGACTCTTTGAACATGGAATCTTATTACTTCTATTGTAGTAACAATAGAGGTGGAATGGGATGTTGAAAGTTTGTTGTGGTTTCCGCCCTAGAATTCTTCAAGGGTCAAAATGTAATGTCAGCACATGGATTAGAGGGAGTGTCAGGTGAGGCACCTGAAGAGAATTGCTTGCTGCTGCTTTGACACGTGATAGATCATTCTCATTCCTACTTTTCCTGTTTGCTCCCTCCTCATACTCTTGGCAGGAACCACTTGGCCATATCTCATCAGGGCTCCGCTGTTGGAACTGAGGTGCCCACCCTTCTGTGTCACTCTGCCACCAAAGTCAGCTTAGCACTTGGGCACTTATTTTGTTAATAGGAACTCACCCAGATGCACACCATGGGCCAGAGGTAGTGCACCAGAGTGACCACAGAGTGGCCAAAAGATAACAAAAGTCCATGCACGATAATCCCCTGGTCTCTCCACACACTCCTCAGTCTGTGCCTGTTCTTTTGTCATTTCTTCCCCCCTCCCCCCAATAATATTGTTCCGTGGTGGTGGTGGACAGTGACAGAGTGGCACTCAGGGTAATGCGTGCTGGGACCTCCGTCCACCTAGGGCAAGTCCCAAGTCCTGTCATTTCTCAATATATTACAGAATTTAGAAAGAGAAATTCATTAGAAGAGAGCTCAATATTCTACAATGATTTCATCCTTTGATGGATATATTATTCTATAACAATGAAATATCAAATATTAGGGTCTTATTAAGAGAGTGGCAAATGCAAAGAAGAGCAGAAATAATAATATACCTACCATATTTAATCTTGGCTTCTGAAATTTTAAAAGTGGCTCCCAAATATTTAAATTGTGAATTGCCAATATATAAGAAAAAGTAGGTAGTTTTTTTTAATGGTGAAAAAATTTTGTTACTGACAAAGGCTTCATATTATCACAACCGAAATGTGAAAGTTACTTGGCCCCTTATTTACAATGAGCATATATCATGTGTATGTAAATATATACATATGGCTTATTTTGGGATGCAGTTTAGGACAGATTAAGGACTTGTAAATAATTCAGTGACCCATCTATAAATTTTAAAGACTAAAAGCCCATAATCTTAATCTTGACATCTTGATTTATTAGATTCTTACATGGGTAGAAATGGCTTTTATTTATCTTTTAAGATTGTATTTATTTATTAGAGAGAGAGTGAGCACATGAGGAGGGGGAGGAGCAGAGGCAGAGGGAGAAGCAGACTCCCCACTGAGCAGGGAGCCTGATGCAGGCCTGAATCCAAGGACCTGGAGACCATGACCAGAGCCCAAGGCAGATGCCCAACCTACTGAGCAACCCAGGCACTCCAGAAATAACTTTTAAAAACAAAAATTTTAAGAAATTAAGGAGGTTTCTTTAACATCACTTCAACCTCTAGATTTCAAAAATGAGATCTTATCTGTCCAGAGGATCTTTATTGTTATATTAAGAAGAGAAACTATATTAAAAAATGCAATTTTGCTTATTTCGATCACTTATTTTGCTCATATTTAATTTTTTAATGTTTTATACTTAACAATAATAACTTTTAAAATGTGCTGTATTTTAGACCTTTGAATTGAATTGACTTTTCCATCTTTTTTTTTTGTCAGATAAATACAAACTACTAAACTAAAAAACAAGCATGGCTCAAGAAATAACTACCAACACAAGAGAAAAACCAAGCAGTGTCTTCCAGGTGGCAGAAATAAAGGCTACTACTAATCAATCATTGAGCATTTAAATTCATGCCAATCTAACTTCTTAAATCTTAGTTATTATAATTGTGGATATCAATTTTAAAGGAAGGTAGAGAAATAGAACTATTAAGGTTTTCAATTCATAAACTCAATTTTTATCTGTAGGGCTTCTTTTCTTTGGGGTCGTTGGATAAATTTGTTACTCTCTTTGGTTTCACTTTCCTCACTTGGACCTTAGCCCAACGCTGTGTTGTTTCTACCATTAACCACTATGAGGTTCTTGAAGGCGGGGACCATGTTCTTTCTGTCTTTGGGTTTTAAATGTTGAACATCTGGCCTGAGAGACAGTATTTGCTGAATCAATGAATGCCACTTCCAAACAGGTTTTTAAAAACTTCCATTCCTTTAAATATAGAAAAAGAACTATAGACAGTCCCCATCCAAAGAATAATTTGGATTTTTAAAAGCCACTACTTAGTCCTTTTCAAAACACTGCCAGCCATTCTCCCATGGGCTTTGCATGCCTTCTCCATCTTCACAACAATCTGAGGGATATTATTATTTTCCTGTTTTATGGACAGATGGTGAAAGTGGAGCTTATAGAGGTTATTTGTTCAAAATCATGCAACCAGGGAAAAAAGATATCTATCTATCTCAGATTTCACACAAATAGCATATAGTACTGGTATTTCTTTTTTTTTTTTAAATCTTTATTTTCTCTACTTCTTTTTTTTAAGATTTTTTATTTATTTATTTGAGAGAGAGAATGAGAGAGAGAGCACATGAGAGGGGGGAGGGTCAGAGGGAGAAGCAGACTCCCTGCTGAGCAGGGAGCCCGATGTGGGACTGGATCCTGGGACTCCAGGATCATGACCTGAGCTGAAGGCAGTCGCTTAACCAACTGAGCCACCCAGGCGCCCAGTACTGGTATTTCTACCGTGACATGAGTTGTAACGAGGAATACATCTCACCTCTCCATCTTCTCCTTCTTGTCCCATAGACAAACCTCTAGAAATATATGGTCCAATATGGTAGCAACTGGGTATATGTAGCCAGTGAGCACTTGAAATGTGGCTAGTGCCACTGAGAAACTGAATTTTAAATTTCTTTTAATTTAATTTAATTTTAAAGATTTATTTATTTATTTGAGAGAACGAGAATGAGAGAGAGAGAGAGAGTACATGAGAGGGGGGAGGGTCAGAGGGAGAAGCAGACTCCTCGCTGAGCAGGGAACCCGACACGGGACTCGATCCCGGGACTCCAGGATCATGACCTGAGCTGAAGGCAGTCGCTCAACCAACTGAGCCACCCAGGCGCCCCTCTTTTAATTTTAATTGATTTAAATTTTAATTTAAAAACTGAAGCAGTGTAGAATATTTTTTGCATTAAACTTAAATGTGTTGTTTTGGTAAGGCTACATTTTTTCACTTCAACTGCTGAAAATTTAGCATCTGAATTGAGATATACTTTTAGTATAAAATACACATCAGATTTTGAAGAGTTAGTATGAAAAAAATAAAATCTCTCAATAATTATATTGATTATGTGTTTAAATTACAATATTTTAGATGTATCAAGTTAAAATTTATAAATGTATTTCATCTGTTTCCTTTTACTTTCTTAACTAGCTGCGAAATAAGATCTCACAAAATTACATATGTGACTCACATTATATTTCTGTTAAGACAGGAAAATCCTCTACCCATTCCCCTTGGCCCACAGCCCCAAGGAATTCCTCCTTCTCCTTTCTTTGCTCCAAAGATGAAAAGGACTGCTTTCCCATTTCCACAATCAAGAGTGAAGTAGTTTTCCATGCAACCACTATGGGATCACCATTAGGGCCACTTTTAAGTTATGATTATATATTAAACTAACAGTTTCTAATCTGGAGGTGGCTGTCTCACAACAGAAAATATTTCCTTGAGAGAGATTATCTGGAACAAATTGATTCTGTGGTGAAGAAAGTCACAACTATTATGACCTAGTAACAGAGTCCTTCAAGAGGCAGTACCAGACCACCACAAGTGTAGGGGACTATGTGGAATAACTTGATCTTTCATACATGATGGTCCCTGTACAACCCATTTGGAAAACAGGAAGTTTCTTATAAAGTTAAGACATCATATCATATGACCAAACAATTCTACTCTAGGTATTTACTCAGGAAAAATTAAAACATGTTGATAAGACATATGTTCAAAACAAGACTTGTACACAAATGGTTATAGGAGTTTTGTTCATAACAGCCAAAATCTGGAAACACCCTGAATGCCCAGCAACAAGTGAATGTTTCAACAAGCTGTGGTATATTCATACAGTATACATGTAG